CCCACTACCACAGCTGGTGGCCCAAGATGAGACGCCCCACTCCCACAGCTGGTGGCCCAAGATGAGACGCCCAACTCCCACAGCTGGTGGCCCAAGATGAGACGCCCCACTCCCACAGCTGGTGGCCCAAGATGAGACGCCCCACTCCCACAGCTGCCACAGCTGGTGGCCCAAGATGAGACGCCCCACTCCCACAGCTGGTGGCCCAAGATGAGACGCCCCACTCCCACAGCTGGTGGCCCAAGATGAGACGCCCCACTCCCACAGCTGGTGGCCCAAGATGAGACGCCCCACTCCCACAGCTGGTGGCCCAAGATGAGACGCCCCACTCCCACAGCTGGTGGCCCAAGATGAGACGCCCCACTCCCACAGCTGGTGGCCCAAGATGAGACGCCCCACTCCCACAGCTGCCACAGCTGGTGGTCCAAGATGAGACGCCCCACTACCACAGCTCCCACAGCTGGTGGTCCAAGATGAGACGCCCCACTACCACAGCTGGTGGCCCAAGATGAGACGCCCCACTCCCACAGCTGGTGGCCCAAGATGAGACGCCCCACTCCCACAGCTGGTGGCCCAAGATGAGACGCCCCACTCCCACAGCTGGTGGCCCAAGATGAGACGCCCCACTCCCACAGCTGGTGGCCCAAGATGAGACGCCCCACTCCCACAGCTGCCACAGCTGGTGGCCCAAGATGAGACGCCCCACTCCCACAGCTGGTGGCCCAAGATGAGACGCCCCACTCCCACAGCTGGTGGCCCAAGATGAGACGCCCCACTCCCACAGCTGGTGGCCCAAGATGAGACGCCCCACTCCCACAGCTGGTGGCCCAAGATGAGACGCCCCACTCCCACAGCTGCCACAGCTGGTGGCCCAAGATGAGACGTCCCGCTCCCACAGCTCCCACAGCTGGTGGCCCAAGATGAGACGCCCCACTACCACAGCTCCCACAGCTGGTGGCCCAAGATGAGACGCCCCACTCCCACAGCTGGTGGCCCAAGATGAGACGCCCCACTCCCACAGCTGGTGGCCCAAGATGAGACGCCCCACTCCCACAGCTGGTGGCCCAAGATGAGACGCCCCACTCCCACAGCTGGTGGCCCAAGATGAGACGCCCCACTCCCACAGCTGGTAGCCCAAGATGAGACGCCCAACTCCCACAGCTGGTGGCCCAAGATGAGACGCCCCACTCCCACAGCTGGTGGCCCAAGATGAGACGCCCCACTCCCACAGCTGGTGGCCCAAGATGAGACGCCCCACTCCCACAGCTGGTGGCCCAAGATGAGACGCCCCACTCCCACAGCTGGTGGCCCAAGATGAGACGCCCCACTCCCACAGCTGGTGGGCCAAGATGAGACGCCCCACTCCCACAGCTGGTGGGCCAAGATGAGACGCCCCACTCCCACAGCTGGTGGCCCAAGATGAGACGCCCCACTCCCACAGCTGGTGGGCCAAGAGCCGCGATTCACTAGATGAAAACCCCGTATCACAGTACATAATTCTCAGATGAAATACTGACCAGAAACCCTTCCGCCAATACTTGAAATAACTGGCCCAAGATGAGACGCCCCACTCCCACAGCTGGTGGCCCAAGATGAGACGCCCCACTCCCACAGCTGGTGGCCCAAGATGAGACGCCCAACTCCCACAGCTGGTGGCCCAAGATGAGACGCCCCACTCCCACTCCAGCCTCTACAGCCTTTCATAGTAGGCTGAGAAGTGCGTTCTGGCTACTAGGTACGACATATATATATATATATATATATATATATATATATATATATATATATATATATATATATATATATATATATATATATATATATATATATATATATATATATATATATATATATATATATATATATATATATATATATATATATATATATATATA